CTTTCAGTGAACTTTTGGGGGAAAGGTGAAGTTTCCCCTCACCCCCACACTACTATCAAAACCACATGAATAAATCTCACAAAAATAATGTTGAGGGGGAAAAGGTAGGCAAAAAAGAATGTACATTGTGTTATTTATTTATATAGTTTTATAAAACAAAAAACTCTAGGGTGACAGAAGGCAGACAATAATTACATTTCATGGAAAGGGTGATAACTGGGAAAGAATAAAGGGATTTCAATGTGAAAGTGCTTTAAACTGCAGGTGTATAATTTATACACTTTTTCTGTGTGTATGCTTTACTTCAGTAAGACCATTATTTAAAAGAATAAAAGAAAACACACCAAATAATAATCAAGAACTGATTGTGAACTAATAGAGTTGCAAGCTGAAGATGATCCCAAAGAATCATTGAATTTCAGCTAAAAAAATTACTTAGCATGAATCTATACATTTCTGGTTATGGAGGATATTTACTAGTATACTAATACTATCCTAGATAAAATTTTTCTTGTTTTTTAAGTAACTAACAAGTTAATCAGGTGGTCTTTTTAACTTTCGTAAAATTTATCACCCTAATTTTTTTGTCTATCTTGCTTTTATAACATAAACTAATCCTGAGCAATTTGATGAATTGCAACTTTCCTTCAGAGTTGGTTTTTACCTGGTTAATTTTCTAATATTAAGCTTTCAATAGAAATTATATTCTAAGTTTGCTCTGATCACAAAAATTAAAAATAAGTAGTTAAAATGTTTAAAAGACTATGAAACTTTTTAAAATCTCATTTCCTAGGGATTACATGCCTGCTACTGTCTGAGCATTTATGTACCCCCAAAATTCATGTGTTGAAATCCTAACCTCAAAGGTAATGGTGTTAGAAAGTGGGCCTTTTGAGAGGTGATTAGGTCATGAAAGCAAAGCCCTTATGAACAGGATTGGGGTCTTTATAAAAAAACCTCCCAGAGAGTGGCCTTACCCCTTCCACCATGGGAAGACACAGCTAAAAGGTGTCATCTGTGAACAGAAAGAGGGCCCTCACCAGACAATAAGTCTGCTGCCACCTCGACCTTGGACATTCCGGACTCCAGAACTATGGGAAATAAATTTCTGTTGTTTAATACCCCGGTTTATGATATTTTGTTATAACAGCCTGAACAGACTTAAACAGTGCTACTACATCCTGTTTGAGATTGACAGATAAATAGAAATATAGAAAACAGAAGGATTCAAAATAGAAGTACATCAGCCAACAAAGAAGGCAGCCATTGGCCAAATGTCACTCTAAAGAGGCCCCTCAGCAATATAAAATGTACTGTGGGATCAGTATCTCAAAGAGATGTCTGTACACCTATTGCATTATTCACAATAGCCAAGAGATGAAAATAACTTAAATATCCATCAGTGGATATTTAATACAAATCTGCTTTGTGTTGTATGACCTTCTTGTATGGAAACATTGATATCTTTCTCTACATTTGGAAAGTTCTCTGTTATTATTTCTTTTAATAAACTTTCTACTCCAAAGTTAATAACTCTTAAATTTACCCTTTTAAGGCTCTTTTGCAGACCTTGTAGGGTGCTTCATTTTTTTTTTTCTTTTTTCTTTTCTGACTGTGTTTTCAAATGGCCTGTCTTCAAGCTCACTAATTCTTTCTTCTGTTTAGTCAATTCTGCTGTTGAGACACTCTGATGCATTTCTCAGTTTGTCAATTGAATTCTTAATCTGCTTTTTTTTTTTATTGTGTCAATCTCTCTGTTACATTTCTTTGATAGGCTTTTGACTTCCTTCTCTATGTTGTCGTGAAGTTCACTGAGCTTTTTCAGGACAACTATTTTAAATTCTTTGTCTGATTTTTGGTTCTTCTAAAGGTGCTTGCTTGCATGGGTAGTTGTTGAATTTGGCTTTTGTGCAGAGCAACAGTCATCAGAGGTTTCTATTCAGCCATCTTGCTCTACCCCTTCTCCTTCATTTTTTTTTTCATAAAGGTTATCATAAATCTGGCCCAACAAACTTCTTCCTCAGTTTCCTGCTCTGACCCCATTTCCTCTACTCTTACTTATTGGCTTTGTATTTTGAGTAGGTCAACTTGACCAAGGTCCCAAACAATATCCCCTCTCTACCTCAGGTTGGTCTGCCCAGAGGCTTCTGTGCCCACCATCACCCCCAGCTATTGTCAGAGGGCAATATAGTATCTTATGTTGACATTTTTGAGAGAAAGGGGTAGAAGTGAAGTTTCCTCTGGTTTCATTTGTAAAATTGGTCTATTCTTGGGAATAGAATTCCACCTTAGGTATTACTAATTTGGCTCCAGGTCTCACTCTTGCTCAGGTTGGTCTCAAACTCCTGACCTCAAGCGATACTCCCACCTTGGCCTCTCGGAGTGCTAGGATTACAGGTGTGAGCCACCGTGCCTAGCCTCAAATTTTTAATAGAGAAAAAAAAATCTCCAAAAATGAAATGTCCATTAACAAAAAATTTCATTAAAAATTGTCATATAGTGATACAGTAGATTATGATGTGGTCAGTAAAAAGATGTACTAATATGGAGACACCCCAAATATATTGTCTGGTGAGAAGAGCAAGTTATAGAAAATTATAAACACCATAGACCAATTTGTATTAAATATATACACACATATTTGATTACATATTCCTAGGAAATTTCTGAAATTATATATAAGAAACTGTAACCAGGAGTTATAACTGGTAGAAGAAGAAGAGAAGGGGACTTTTAGTTTTCTACCTTATATTATTTCACCATGAGCAGCAATGACATTATAAGAATAAAAAAGATTTCACAACTTAAAATGGATTAATGAATAAAATGTTAAGACCTAAAACTATAAAACTACTAGAAGAAAATAAAAGAAAAATGCTGCAGGACATTGGTCCAGGGAAAGATTTTATGGGTAAGAGTATAAAAGGACAGACAACAAAAACACAAATAGACAAATGAAACTATATCAAACTAAAAAGCTTCTGCACAGGAAGGGAAAAACAATCAACAGAGTCAATCAACAACCTATAGAATAGGAGAAAATAACTGCAAACTATTCATCAGACAAAGAACTAATACCCAGAATGTACAAGAAACTCAACTAACTCAAGATTAAAAAAATAAAAAATAAAAATAGACAAAGGATCTGCATAGACATTTCTCAAAGGAAGACATATAAAAGGCCTATAAGTGTGTGAAAAGATGCACAACATCACTAATTATGAGGAAAATTCAAATCAATACCAGAATGGGATATCATCTTACTCCAGTTAGAATGGCAATTATCAAAAAGACAAAAAATAATAAATGCTGGTGAAAATGCAGGCAAAAGGAAACTCTTATATGCTGTTGGTGGGAACGTGAATTAGTATAGCCATGTGGAAAACAATATGGGGATTTCTCAGAAAACTAAAAGTAGAACTACTATGAGATCCATCAAGGAAAGGAAAGGAAATGAATATATCAAAGGATATCTGTTAATTGCAGCACTATTCATAATAGCCAAGATATGGAATCAACCTAACTGTCCATCAACAGATGAATGGATAAAGAAAATATGGTATATGTAAACAATGGAATACATTTCAGCCTTAAAAAAGAATAGGGAAAATAGAGAGAGGTTGGTTAATAGATACAAAATGATAACCTGGATGACAGGAATAAGTTCTAGTGTTCTGTAGCACTGAGGAGTGAATATAGTTATCAATAACTTATTGTATATGTTAAGAAAGTTAGAAGAGAGAATTTTCGAATGTTCCCAACACAAAGAAATCATAAATGTTTGAGGTAACAGATATCCTAATTACCCTGATTTGATCATTATACATAGTAAACATACAGCAAAATATCACTCTGTACAATAATGTACAATTATTACATGTCAACTAAAAATAAGAGAAAAAAGACAAAAGAATTTAAACTAACAATGTATAAGACTATACAAATGTTTTAATTTTTTTCACTCAAACAGATGCTGACAGAACAAGTGTTTTGTTTTTTAAAAAATTGACGGAGCTTAAAATGTATAATAATAATTTGAATCATTTTATTGCCTTTTGCAGCTCCATCTCAATTGAGATACTAAACAAAGCTTAAGCATGAAGAAATGAAGACTGTAACAAGCCAAACATTTTCCTTTTTCCTCACAGGAAACTTAATGCCTCGAAGAGTTTACTTTAACATCTTAGTGACTTTAATTGTACCATAATCTGTGAGTACCTAGACGACTGTAGATTTGGCATATCCTAATCTGCTTTGTGGCTTCATCTCTTGTTTCTAAAAGGAAGGCTGGGGAAATGGAAGTGGAAGGAGGTGGCAGTAACATTTGTAGGGCTCAGACCTGGTAAGGCATTCAACTATTAATACAACCGCTCTTGGTTTTAACAGTGGGGTGAAAGCTAATTGTGTATGCAACAGATGTTCCTTTCAATCATGTGCAAATTAGAGTCCTCAGTGGCACCAGAGAAAGAAAAGAATTCTAGTTCTTTCACTTCTCTCTTCCCTCCTTTTGTTTTCTTCTTTCCCACCCATTCTCTTTCCTTCTCTCTTGATTGTAAGCCAAGGAGAAAAGAGAAATATCCAGGATCTGTAAATCTTACTGACGGGTTTTACTGATGAGCTTTCACTTTCAAGTTCTTAACACCCCATGTCAAATTGTAATGTCATCAAAATGTCAGTATCTTGTGCTGATTGTGTTGAAACAATCTTGGTGGTTTTATAAATGAAGGAGATAATAGGAGTTTGTATACTCTAAGCTGGAGAGAATACTGATAGGCAAGCTGTTGAGTACTGGAATACAAATTGAACTCGTGGTAGAGAATTCATGCGAGATTGTAGTATTTGTCAAGTTGAAAGGAAACCACCATTCACTAGGTATAGAAAGAACTTTGCAAAAGGACCTTTCAGTGAGACATGTTGTTTTCAGGCATTTAATTAGTATAAAAGAGCACGCTGTAAAATGGACAAATTGTTCATTTTAGCTAACATGTAGAATTACAAATTTACTTCACTACAGAAGAACTCATGGTGAAAAATAAAATATTAACAAAGAACATTGTGGCAGGTGATGTAGATGATGAGACACCCTGGGAAGTTCCAACTTTCTTCCAAGAAGGTTGATAGCTGGGTTCTAAGTTTACAGAGGTATCTATACAAACATCCTCAGCAACACACACATCAATAGCATTAATGTCTTTTATATCATCTCTCTCTTTACAACTCAAGGAGGGATAACAGCTGCAATTAAATTTTTCAGAAAGTTGCTTCAGGTCTTCAAGTGTGGGTTTTCCACGTACCATGTACTTTCCACTTTTCCCAATTTGAATAGCAAAATTCTCTGGGTTCAGGTGAAGATAGTCACTTGAATTCCAGTTTTTCCTTGTACACACACCTTGCTCCTGGCAAAGCACTTGGCTGCACATTTTGGCTGCTAGGGTGACATTGATTAAGTAAGGATTCACTGGTCTTCACATATTTGTCCAGGGTCAAGCAAGATTTCTATAAAATTATAAGATGGTCAGAATATCAAAGGACAAGTCACTCATATGTGAATTAATTCACTGCAATAAGCAATTTTAAAGTAAGAACAAAATATAACCAGACAGAGCAAGAGGTAGAGAATATCTTATCTTTTTTACCTTATCTAGCAATATTACTCCAACTGACATTTGTAAGTTTGTTGCACATGCTGTTTTATTCCACTGAATAACTGACCAGTTGAGGCTTAACATATCCTAACCTGATCTTCCTTAATAATTCATAAACTAATCAGAGTTATTAATAGAATAGTACAACTGTTAGAGTATAAGCTCTGAGGTCCATTTGCCCTGACTGGAGTTCCAGTTCCATTAGACTACCTATATGAACTTGGGAATCTCTCAAACTATTCAAGTCTTAGTTTCCTATCTGAGTGACTTGGGCAAATTAATTAACCTGGTTATGCTTTAGCTACACACTCTGTAAGATAAGGATAATTATGGTGCTTACCTCGTAGATTTGTTGTAAAGATAAAAAGATATGATAAATATAAAAGTGTTTAACACAGGACCTAGCATATCTTTGGTTGACCCTCAATAAATTATAAATGTAATAAGTACTACATTTTCCAGACAAGTTTAAATAGAATTGAATAGAGTGATTTTTATTTCTATTTTTTATTTCGATAGATTTAGTTTTCCTTAATTATTCACTCAAGTACACTTTCCAAGCTTCTTGCTTTTTCTTCTCCTCCTTCAGGGACATCTATGATTCTTATGTTTGGGCATTTTACACAGTCACACATTTCTGGGAGTCTTTCTTCATGTCTTTTAATTTTTTTATTTTTGGCTGACTAGGTTACTTTGAAAGACTTTTCATCAAACTCTAATTTCTTACTTCTGCTTGGTCTAGTCTTTTGTTTAAATTTTCCACTGTGTTTTGTATTTCCCTAAACGAATTTTTCATTTTCAGAAGTTCTGTTTCATTGTTTGTTAATATATCTATCTCTTTAGTAAATTTTTCATTCATTTCCTGAATTATTTTTCCAATTTCTTTGAGTTTGTTTTCCATTCTCTTGGATCTCATTGAGCTTCCTTACAATCCATATTTTGAATTCTTTATCTATCATTTCAGTATTTTCACTTTGGTTGGGATCCATTACTAGACTGCTGATGTGATCCTTTGGGAAGGTCGTTACACTCGGTTTTTTCATACTGCCAGAGTTCTTGCACTGATACCTTTATCATCTGGGGAGGTTGTTACTTCTTGTTTTTGAATTTTCCTTTGTTTAGATGGGACTTTTTTTCCTCCCTCCTAAGGATGTGACTGTAGCATATGTTAGATAAGGATCTTTGGCTTTGTTTGTGGGCACCTTCTAGGCAACCTAGGTTCTGAATGAATACCTTGGTTATAGGTGGCCTTAGTATAGTAGTTTTCCCAAATGCTGGTTATATGTAGGCTGTAGCAGTGGTATACTATATGTGTGGTCATATTCTCTGCCTTCTGTTGAGAAGAGGAGATCAAAATCTCTGAAATTTAATCTCTTTCCCCAGCCCTGTGCACTTCTAATAGTATGAATTATATTGGGATGTCCAGTTTAATCTCAAGGTCAATAGGTGGTATTGGCAGGTTAGAGTCATCCAAGCCCTGTGCAATTGAATCAGTAAATATGATGGGCTGTTAAAGTTGACCTCACTTCCAGTAGGTGGTGTTTGCAGGAGAGAGCCAGGTGCAGTGGTGTTTGTGGGACCTATGCCTAGCCCTAGTCAATCAGGAGATGTACTTGGATGTCCCAGACAGTGGGAGGAGTCCCTAAACTCCCAAGGAATCCCTTCTTGTGCTCTGCCACTACAGTGGTAGATGCGCAGGCAAGGCTGGGTCAGGCAAGACTGTGTCCAGACACCCCAAAGGTGGGCACAAGTGCTGCCTCAACAGGGGTTGGGGGTCAGCTCCCAAGCCACTGGGGAAAGTTTCCAGGTAGGGGCAGAAGTGTCCCCTCTATGCCAAAGAACCTGTTTATGGGGGTGGAGCAGTCCAGAATTCACAGTGCAGCTGGTGGTAGTGCTCTGCTCCCACTCCCTTTGCTGGTAGATCCCCCTCTGGTGTGTCTGGCCCCCGGCAGCAAGCCAAACCAACCAGGCCATTCAAAAGGCAGCCATGCAGCATGGACCCACACCACATTCTCTTCTCAGTTCTGTCTGTGTGGGCTCACTCTCCACTTGAGATCAGTTCACAAATGTCTGTTCCATGCCACTGAATGATGCAATTGAGTCGTGGGGGTATGGGATCAGGCCCACAGACCTGTCCTCTGGGCCCCTGAGTTCAAGCTCTGACTGTGACAGGGAGAGGTGTGCTGCCTGCGGAGCACTCAAGTAGGCTAAATGTCACTCTGCTGTGGTTCGGCCATGGGGTGGGCAGGGTATGCCCTTCTCTGCAGGAGTAGTCAGGCCGGCAGACCTGGAGAAGGCCAGCAAGTGGGGAGCTCACAGTCCCAAACACCCCTCAGTCCACTTTGGGTTTTTAAAGGAAAAGGCATGAGCCCCATTCTCCATGTAAGCCTGAGTGTCATAGGCAAACCGTCGGAGGGGTGGCAGCCACTCCCAAGTGCCCTGGCTGAACTTTCCCTTTTCATATAAATGCCAGCCGCATGCAGGAATTGCCATGGCTGTCAGTAGCAGTGAGAGGAAGAGGGGAGGAAGAGAAGACTGAATGGAGGAGAGCCCTTTGCCTAAAGGGTACCCTGGCCTGCTGCAATCTCCTCTCACCTGAAAGCAGCCTGTCCTGAGAGTCCAAGCCCTGGGGAAATCACACAGTTCCCAGGGTTCCCCTGGGACCCACCAGCCCCCTGTGGCTGCTGCAGTCTGAGTTGGTGCTGGGGAATGTTATCTGTAGATCTAGGTAAATGGAAACCAAAAACCTGAGATTCCCTGGTCAGGGCAGCTGCAAAAATGCTGCCTCTCCATGAAGCGAGGGAAATTAGAAGCACCCTCCATGCAAAGTCTAGGTGCAGTGAGCACAGATTTAGTGAAGGTGCAGCATCTTCTTACCCACTTGGGCCTGGCTGCCCAGCAGCATGCTGGCACCAAGCACTCCTGGGAACAGATGCAACTGTATTTGCAGCAATAGGCAGTGGGGATGGGAGAATTCCCATTTCCAGGTCCCTTCCCTGCCTCTGGTGCTGCTTTTGTTCTGGAGTGGGAACACTGTCCTGTCCCACAGACTCCTCTCTGCACCTACATCTACACTGGGAGGGGTGCAGACAACTTTGGGTCACACATCAGTGGCTCTCAGGTGGAGAAGAGCACATGCCTTGCTTTCTTTCACCCCAAAAACCTTTGTAGCTCATGGCATCTTCCCATCCCCCAGGGACAGCCCACCCTATGGAACAGAACTCCAGGGAATCCTACAGTTCTGTGTTGCTTTGGACTTTTGTGGTTATCACAGTCCAAGCAGGTGCTGGGAAGTATTTGTGGGCGGTCCAGTGACAAGGAAACTGAAGGGCAGGGCAGGATAAAGGCACATAATGGGTGGACAAGCAGTATGGTGCCCACAACCTCAGCTCATGTCTATAGTGGAGGAAAGTGACAGTGAATGGTCTGGCAGCCTGGTGCTCTGTTCTTACGAGGTTCTCAATTTGCTGACGGCAAGAACACTAGGGCTCGTAAGAGTATAGAAGCTCTTGGACAGTCTGGGTATAGCAGGTGTGTGGGCAGGAAAAATAAACACCCCCATTTACCCTTTCCATGGGACTCCAAACTCCTTAAAGATCAATCTCTCCCAAAACCTTACTCCTCCTTATTCTTCTCTGCAATCTTCCCACGGGATACCTGGTAGGTTCTGGCACTTTTCCCTCAGAATTACACCTGTGCTATGCTTTTTCACCTAAAACTTTTTATTCTTTCTGGGATGATCTGGCAACCAATATTTAGTCAGCCGTCTTGCTGCAGAATCTAAGAGTGATTTTTAAATTGCTGACTCAAAACAACTAAAAGGGTTCAACTAAGTATACTTTATGTAAATGTTACATATAGTCTAATTGCAGATGAATAATGACAGCTCTTTTACAAATTTGGCAGAATATGAGTGATGAGCAACTGAAATGATTCATCTTAAGATTGGTATGTTCTAAAACCTGGACACTGTGCTTTTAAAAACATTGAAGATAGTCACTTATGTTTATGATCAACAGTTCCACTGAGTGGCTGGCTGTGTTAATCCTTCAGCAGACAAAAGGAAGTGGTGGTGGTAGGGTGGAAGGCAAGTCAAGGAATCTTGACAGATTCCACTTGAATCTATTTCCGTTACCTTCCTTGAGATGATGTCATCTACTGTTGGCAGAATAATTGCCTCCCAAAGATGTTCACACCCTAATCCCCTAGAATCTGGGACTATGTTATCTTACATGGCAAAAGGGATTTTGCAGATGTGATTAAGGCTACGGACCTTGAGAAGGGGAGATTATCCCGAATTACCTGGATGTGCTCAATCTAATTACATGAGTCTGAACATGTAGAAACTTTTCAAGCTGGGTTAGAAAGATAAGACACAAGAAGGAAGAGAGATGCAAAGTCACCACTGCTGACTTTGGAAAGAGAAGAAGAGGACCATGAGCTAAGGAATGTACCAGCCTCTAGAAGCTGGAAATGACCTTTAGCCAACAGTCAGCCAGATAATGTAGATCTCATTGCTCCAACCACAAGGAACTGAATCTGCCAACAACCCAAGCGACCTAGTGAGGATCCTCCCTTAGGAAGGATGTAGGCCTGCTGACACCTTGATTTTAGTCTATTGAGATCCATGTTGAACACCTAACCTGCTGAATTATAAGATAATAAATTTCTGGTTTGTAAGCCACTAAATTCATTGTAATTTTTATGGAAGGAATTGAAAACTAATACACTATCCTTCTTCTTAACCTTCCAATGGCTCTGCATGGTAATTAGAATAAAATTCAACAACCTCTCTTGACTTGTACACAGCCTGACATGGTGTACCCTTCTTTCCTCTTGTACAACCTTCCCACACCTACTCTACCTTAAACATAGGAGTTATTTCACTAGCATGGCAGGTTCATTTCAAACTGCACTTACTGTTCCCTGTGCTTGGAATGCTCTTTCCTCTCACTTTTATCATGGTTTACTCATCTTGTTGTTGAGATGGCAGCTTTAATCAGGCAATGCCCTTCTAATTATGATCAACAGTTGGCAGAATATCTTTCTTGTCGATTTTCACATCTCTCTATTCCAATTCTCTGTATAGAACTTATTAAATCAAATATTTTTCTGTGTATTGTATTTAAGCACTGATAAGCTCCAAGAGTACCTGGACATGTTCAATATTCTTCAACACTATGTTCCTAGTACCAAGGATGTGAGAATATATACCAAGCTCAGAACACATTGCCGTTGCTTCCTCAACTCCACAGAGACAAGGGTTTGGCAAAAAGAAGAGTAAAGGGATGAGAATGATTTGAGAATCATTGACCAACATAAGATGTAGTCTATAAAAAGATCTTAAAACTGGCTCTCTAATAGGAAAGGCCTGGTTATATCTCCATACATATATCTCAATGGTGTAAATACTCCTACCATGACCAATATCAAGCTACCAACCTAACATAACTGAATGCAGCATTGGGAATTGAGTACGCCACCATTACACACTATGGCAATAAGGTGTAGACTAGCACATCATTACA